GTGATAGCTTTAGCGGCGGCTACCGCCACCATGGGTCGACCAAGAAGGAACACCGGTGAGTTACCAGCTATCCGGCCTGTTAGTTACGCGCGGGCCCTTCGCACGAGGCAATCATGGCGCGCCCCTCTAACCGGCGGTCTAATTTTCGTCAGCCAATTAGTCTGCCAAGTTGCTTGAACAGTGGCAGTTGGCACTTTTGTTCTGTTACTACCCTTCGCCCCATACTAATGTGGCCGCCCGTCTCAGATACTCAGTTGGCCCTCCGGGCGGTCACATACACCAGCTTGTAGCTTGGCCCTGAACTATGCCCTGCCCACTGGCATGTCATGCCATGCCAGCGCCACCTTCACAATCTTGCTCGGTTACATGCACCAGTGTCATAGGTTCGCACTAAACAATGCCCTAACCGCACACTGGCACGCCATCCCGAGGGCATGCCCGACAAAGCCGGCCATACCCAGGGGTGGAGATTTGCCTAAATCCCAGGGGGTGCTTTTCTGTTTGATACTTTGGTTAACAAGCTGCAATGTTGGTTTTGCATTGTTTGTGGGGGTGCTTTGCGATATGAGTGGGTGCTCGTGCACCCTCAAACCCCCTTTTCTCCACCCATGGCCATGCCTGACTGGCCTGCCTATTTACCTGGGCTGTCATGCTACGTCACCACTAGATCATCAATGCAGCATAGCAGCCGGCTTTCGTGCTTCCACAGTGTGGCCAATGCCAGCAGTGACCTGACACCCAGTCGGCCCGCTGCAGACCGGTGCAAGACGACACCCCGGATCAACGGCCGTCCGACCGCCGGCCGCAGGCCCGTCGCGGCCTTGAGCTGACGCCACGCCGGTTGAGTCACCCGGCCGCCCCCCGGTGCGGAGGACGGTCAAGTTTGTCCGCTGGCCTGCCCCAGCTTACAACTCACTGTCAACTACCATGTCATTACGTCGCTACTAATGACATGTCTGCTGGCCTGCCCCAGCATACCACTCACTGTCACCTACCATGTCATTACGTCGCTACTAATGACACGTCCGCTGGCTTGCCCCAGCATACTAATCACTGTCACCTACCATGTCATTACGTCGCTACTAATGACACGTCCGCTGGCTTGCCCCAGCATCCCACTCACTGTCACCTACCATGTCATTACGTCGCTACTAATGACACGTCCGCTGGCTTGCCCCAGCATACCACTCACTGTCACCTACCATGTCATTACGTCGCTACTAATGACACGTCCGCTGGCTTGCCCCAGCATACCACTCACTGTCACCTACCATGTCACTATGTCCCTACCATGACATGTCAGCTGGCCCCTGCCCCCAGCACATAACTCTATGTCAACTACCATGTCATTACGTCGCTACTAATGACATGTCCGCTGGCTTGCCCAGCATACAACTTACTGTCAACTACCACGCCATTACGTCGCTGCCAATGGCATGTCCGTTGGCTTGCCCCAGCTTACAACTCACTGTCAACTACCATGTCATTACGTCGCTACTAATGACATGTCCCCGCTGGCCCTGTCCCAGCAGCTCCTTCTTGAGCACTGACCAGCGGCATGACGTTTAATTTCTGAGGACACCAGTACTTCTCATGCAGTGGCAGTGTTTACGGCTGGCCTCGACCCCTGGCCCCTTCCTGGGCTCTTCTGAAAGACGCCCCAGAAAGAACAGAGGGAGACAAAAAAAAAATTGCTGCGCGCACTCCGTCGCTCGGCGTCCTAACGGAAAAGGCCGCTTGGGCTGCGTTGCCTCGAGTCCAAACATAAGTCGTATGTCGGACATACTTACGTGCAGTTGTGGTAGCCGTTGTGTTTCCAGTGCCTGCGCCCACGCTGTGAGTTGCTAAAATACATGCATGGTAGAAATCAACGCTGTTACAATATATCACCCACGACCTAAAATCTATATATCTGCGCCTATCATGTGTGCGCGACATCTGGTGGCACTATGCGACCTGTAGTTCTCCCCGGCGCACCTAGGTGGCACGGCCTGTTCCGTGTTGAGGCACGACCTGTGCTGGCGGAGGTGGGAGGTGACTAGGGCGCAACTTCCCGCTAATATAATTTGCACGGTTCCATCGTGAAATGACCATTAGCGTTAAGGTTGCTAAGTGAGTCCGGGCGGAGCTATACGTTCGGTGTTTTGGCATTGGCTGGCCTCGACCCCTGGCCCCTTCCTGGGCTCTTCTGAAAGACGCCAAAGTTAACCTAGTCTTAACAATATATTTGCCCACTTATCATGGTATATCATGTCGGTGTAGGTACTGATGACAAATTACCGTGATCAAATAAATGTTTGAAACCGTATGCTAAGGTGACATAAATTTATGTTGATGACAGATTCTTTACCGTTTTAATGCAAACCGATTGCTTATGTCAGGGATTTATGAAACGTGTGCAGTGTGCATGCGTGTTTACTGTACTGTTTACTTTCAGGATTACCGGTGGGTGATTGATACTATGGTTTAAGGGAATAATCCATGTCTCATTCATAATTCCATGAGATAATGGTGTCTTGATTTATGCGATGGATGCATCTCCTATAGTTGGCTGGGGTATACCTCGGTAGGTACCAATAAATTATGATGTAAAAAAGGACGGGGCGATTGAAATTACTATAAAACACAATGATTCAGTCAACTTGAAGAGCCTTTGAGATAGTTTTCCTGTTTTAATCACGATACGCAACTCGTTTTACTCATTAGAAGCCAATTTTGTGCGAACATCTTCCGACGATAGCCCAACCACACACAGCCCATTAGTGCTGGCATCGATAATTCATCAGCGGAACCTATAAAGGCGGGCTGCAACTGTGCAACAGACACCACTGCGGTGATTATCGATGCAATTACCGAACCGTGCAGAGAGTCGATTATTGTTTAATACCAGCGCAGCGGAAATGGTCGGCAGTGGTTTGTGGCGACCCGCTGCGGTAGTGGAGGGGGGGGGGAGCAGAAGGAGGCGAGGGGCGGGTAAGGGTTAAATGGCACTGAGGCCTGAGCACGGCTAGCTGTGACCAGCAGGTGATAGGAAGGGGGTGTCGCCGCCGTAGCGGCTCCAGTGTGTTATGGCACGCGCCATTTTGCATATTTTCACGCAGTCGGAATTTCGTCGGTGCTATTGTTGTCGTGTGAATGAACTCGTTGAAATTAGAAGGACAAATGGCGGACAATATAGATTGATCGATTCGGAACAAGTTTAATTCGACTTTCGTATTATTCGGATTTTGCTTATTCGTAACTTTACCGGTCGATCGGGTCGGAATTCGATTCGTTCGCAACATTTTTTGGTCCTCCGGGCCGGATTACGTAATTTGTGTGTCGTCTCGTTCGCTCTAACGTAATGTTCACGAATAATGTAGCCTTTGAGCGTTATATCGTCGTTCGCTCTAACGTCATTATCGTGAATTGAGTTACGTTTTTGAGTTTCGCATCGTTCGCACTTAACGTAATGGCCACAGATAACGTAACGTTCCGCGCATTGCATGGCTTCTAAGCATAACAACGTATGCTCTGAATGATCGTGCTGCTCAACATCAGCAAATAATCAACATGGATCAATCACCCGAAGCAGCAAGATTGAAGCGGATCCGAGCAAACAAGAAGTCGTGTGTTGACACGCATCTGCAATCGAGCCGAGAATCTGATCGCAGTTCGAGGCAGTCGTACCATTCTCCAAGAGCTGCTCGGTGATATTGACCGTGCAATGGACACAGTGACGGACTCCAATGAGTCATACTTGCTGGTATTGACGGACAGGGAAGAGAAATCGAAGGCAAACGAATACATGATTGAAATCGAAGCACAGCGGAACAGTATGGTTCAAAAGATAATGACTTACCTTCAATCGAGATCTGACGAGGCCGCTTCTGAAGCTAGTGCAGCAGCGTCCCATCGTTCGACGGCAGCTGTGGCTCAGTCACATGAGGCTGTGATTCAGGCCCGTCTGACCGCCTTGAAGAGTCGCCAGGAAGAAAAACGACTTCAGTGCGAAAAGGAATTCAACCTGAAGATTCAGGCGGCTAGAGAAACGGCTGAAACAGCAGAACTTGAAGCTCGACTGCGGCAAGAAGCCATTGAGTCAGGGACAGTCAATCTGGATAGAACTGATGACATCAGAGACGAAGCTGCTGTTGCCGATTGTGAAGTTGAGAATGAAAGCGCGAACGTTGGTGACAGCAACCTGAGAACAGCAGACTGGATCAGGAGGCTGAACAGTCCTGAGGCCTCACCAGCTCAACAGAGAGAGACGACAGCGCGTCACACCGAGCTCCACAGCGTGCCGCGCATAGCACTGCCGAAGTTCTCGGGTGAGCCTCTGGAGTGGCCAAAGTGGATTGGACTTTTCGAGGCGCTGATTCACAAGCAACCAGGGCTGTCAAACGCAGAAAAAATCGTTCATCTACAGTCGGCAGTCACTGGTCTGGCGCAGAAAACAATCGAAGGCATGCTATATGATGGCGAGCTCTACCTGCAGGCGCTACAAGCTCTCCAAAGTCGATTCGGCAGTAGTGACGATATCGTTTTTGCACACCTGAGGGCTGTTTTCGAGAGCCAGCCTCTGAAGCACCTCGACGCAGCAGCCCTAGAAAAGTTCCAAGCTCGTCTCCATTCCGCGGTTACGACTCTCCAATCGCTCGGCTATCATGGTGACGTCACGAGCCGCGAGAACTTGCGACGAGCAGTCGTGAAACTGCCGATTCAACTCCGTCACGAGTGGGGAAAACGAGCAGTAGAGCTGGAGCCAAGGCAAGTCACACTGTCGGATTTGGATGACTGGCTAGCTCTACAAGTCCGGATATTGCTCAGCAGCTCAATGTCTGAGCGTGAAGGAAACAGCGGCATCAGCTCAGCGGCAGACAGTCGCCGACCGCCGGCGTCGCGTCAGAGGCATGGATCGAGTGCGCGTTCGGCTCTCGCCACGGTGGCCAATCAGCATGGCTCCCAGCCGGCGTGCCCCCTCTGCAATCGCCGACACGACTTGGCTCTCTGCAATGCATTTGCCCAAAAGTCTGTGTCGGAACGAGCTCGATACATCGCTGACAATGACAGATGTTTTCGCTGCTTGGAGACGGGACACATCTCGAGAAGGTGCCCGTCCACATCTGTCCAACAGTGCAGTTCTGCCGGCTGTGGAGGCAGACACCACCAGTTACTACATGGCAGCCAGCGTGTTTTCGAGCGTCGTGGAACGGAGCAGGCTGCCGCGCTCGAGCAAACCCAACAACATATGGATCCAGCAGAGCAGCACTCAACTAATCGGACGATCGGAGCCGCGCTAAATGCGACCAGAACTTCTACACTTCTTCAAGTCGTACCAGTGCGTGTGTACGGGCCAGACGGCGAGTGCAGTGACACGCACGCACTACTGGACGCCGGAGCACAAACCTCTCTCTGCACCGATCGGCTGAGGCAGCGCCTGGGTATCATCGGAGAACGCCAGGAGCTGCAACTCAACAACGTCGAAGGGGCCGGCGAGAAGAGAACTGTGCACCGATTTGAACTGCAGGTATCGCCAATGTCGGATGGAAACGGAAGAGCGGATATTACCGTACAAGAGGTATACTCCGTTCCTAAGCTGAACGTGCAGCCGCAAACAATCGACTGGAGTCGGCGACACGAGTGGCTCCATCTCTCGGATCTCGACATTCCAGACACTAGTGACAAGCCGATCGAACTACTGTTAGGCGCTAACGTCACTGAAGCAATAGTGCAGCACGAGGCACGCGTTGGTAGGCCAGGCCAGCCAGTGGCCGTTCGTACAGCCTTTGGTTGGTGTCTAAGCGGCAACATCACACAGCTGGTCTCGCCTGGTGCTCGTCACGTCATGCACATGGCACGAGTTGACACTCGAGAAGAAGAGTTGAACTCTCTGGTGAAGGAATGGTGGTCCACCGAGTCCTTCGGCACCAAATTCAGCGAGAACGTCGCCTCATCAGCTGAAGATAGGCGCGCGGAGAAGCTGCTCGCTGAGACGACGAAATGGCGCGGGGACAGGTACGAGACCGGTCTACTGTGGAGATCAGACGACGTCTCCATGCCAGACAACTACACAGCAGCACTGAATCGGCTTGAGAGCACAGAAAAAAGACTTCTCCGCCAACCAGGGACGGCAGCTGCATACAAAGATACCTTTCGACAGTATCTGGACAAGGGATACGCTCGAATGCTCTGCCCAGAAGAACTCGAGAGAGCAGACAAGAAACGATGGTTCCTGCCGCACCATGCAGTGGTCAACCAAAACAAGCCAGGAAAGATCCGTGTGGTATTCGATGCTGCAGCCAGCTACAGAGGAACCTCTCTGAACAGTCAGCTTCTCACTGGCCCTGACTTCCTTCAGACGATTCCCGGCGTTCTTCTGAGATTCAGGGAGCAGCAAGTCGGCGTTTCGGCCGACATCGAACAGATGTACCATCAGGTGGCGGCAGTGAAGGACGATCAGCCGGCACTCAGCTTTCTTTGGCGAGATTTGGACACCACCCGGCCTCCTGATGTGTACCAAATGGACCGTATTATCTTTGGAGCCCGGTGCTCACCGGCTTCGGCATCGTATGCTCTTCGCAAGACCGCCAATGACATGGCGGCTGACACTGACTCGGACAGAGCGGCGACAGAAGCGGTCCTCTGCAACTTCTATATGGACGACTTCCTCAGCTCGGAGCCAAACAGCGACTCGGCTATTTCTAGCCTCACAGCAGTGACAGCACTCGTATCTCGAGGAGGCTTCAGACTCACCAAATGGCTCAGCAATTCTCGTGACGTCCTCGCCGCTGTGCCAGAGTCCGAACGTACACCATCAGCGGCAGATCTGACCGTGCAGCTGCCGACAGAACGCGTCCTCGGTCTGCTGTGGGACGCAGAGACTGACCTGCTAAGGCTGCATGTTCATCACCGAACTGTGCCTCCTACAAAACGGGGTATCCTTCAGATGGCTGCCTCCATCTACGATCCACTTGGATTCGCCTCTCCATTCACTCTTCTCGCAAGAATCGTGATGCAGAAGCTGTGGGCACTGAAACTCGACTGGGACTGTGAGCTCACAGGAACGACGGCGGAGGAATGGACTCGTTGGACAGGAGAATTGGCGTGCCTAGAAGCACTCATCGTTCCTCGGAGCTTCAAAGCATGCGACTCACCTGCACATGATCGGCAGCTTCACATATTTTGTGATGCTTTCGAGCTCGCCTTCGGGGCCGTGGCCTACCTCAGAGAGACATCGGCTGACGGCACTGTGTCTGTCTCTTTCGTCATGAGCAAGACTCGAGTCGCTCCATTAAAGAAGATGACTATCGTTCGGCTTGAAACTCAAGCGGCTGTGCTAGCCGTTCGACTGGCAGACGCCATCAGAAGAGAACTGAAGCTCGCAATTGATGGAGTCAACTTTTGGAGCGACAGTATGGTGGTTCTCCAATACATCAACAACGAAAGCAGGCGCTTCCACACGTTCATCGCCAACCGAATAGCGGAGATTCGCCAAGGCTCAGAACCATCGCGGTGGCGGCATGTCCCAGGATACCTAAACCCGGCGGACGACTGCTCGCGGGGTCTGCCGGCTTCTCAGTTGACACCGGATAGCCGCTGGATTCAAGGACCTGCCTTCCTTCGCCAGCCGCCGGATCAATGGCCTTCAGAGGTTCGCCAAAAGGCCATAAACGATGGTGATCCCGAGGTCAGGGTCGTGAATCTCACCTCCACTGATCTCAGCACAGGGATTGTTCTCCCTGACCCCAGCAGATTCTCAAGCTGGACTCGCTACAAACGCTCCGTCGCCTGGCTGATGCGGTTTCTCTGCAACTTCGTGGCCAGACACGGCTCTCAAGAAGAGCAAGAATGGCGCCGTGCTGGCACGCTCTCGGTGACAGAGTTGAACGATGCAGAAAACCTTATTCTGCGCAAGATGCAAAATGATCAGTATCATCAGGAACTGATCGACCTGAAGAACGGCAGATCGGCAGGGGCGTCGTTTTGTATAGGCCTGGTAGGGCCCGAGCCTTACCAATGTTTATTTGGGCCCTACCAATGTTCGCTGAGCCCTACCAATCTTTTGTCACTTATCAGTTGATAAAAAATCAAAATAAACAGATAAGCAAATATTAAATAAGCACATATGCAAGTACATAAATAAGGTTCTAGCCACAGTAGGTGCATGTAGCTGACAATGAGGTTTCACGTGTCTAGGACTCCGGTCCTTAATGGATTTTAAGAGGCTCGAAAACGCAATTGGTTATAGAGGTCCATAACTGCCTCTGAGTCCCGCATACCACGCGACCGCCCCTAATAGATCCCGATCCGTCTCCACACCAGCCGCTGGAGGCCCTACACCGACTTCGGAAGGTGCCGCGGTGCTCCAGAATAGGCCATAGGTATATTGATTTGAGTGGGTGATGCAGCCTGATTCCCCAGGGTTCAACGCCAGGTCATTACCGCATCAGACCCCGAAAACTGAAGCTCGTAACTACGAGGGGCGTTCAAAAAGTTTCGGGCCGAACAATGAAGGAGTTGGAATTTTGGCCTGCAAGGCGGTGTGTTAAATGATGTGTTATTGGGATGTCCACTTACGCAAATTAAGTAAGTGGCCATTAATTAACCCGGCGGCCGCTGGGCCTCCGCGCCACCCGCCGGCCGCTGGGGGGGGCATATAGTTGCCCCCCCCCCTTTACTTCCGCGGCGATATCGTCGCAACGCGAAGAGATAGAGAAGCGAAACTTTGCACACATCTTCCTGAATACCTAGCCGAGGTTGTGTCCAAATTTGGTGTCGATCCCATTTGAAATGACGTCACAGTGACGTCATAAGTCAAATTATAGATTTGCGACTCTCTGTTTCCTCACGATACATCAGGTATATGGGACCGAATATAAAGGGCCAATTTTTGGTTAGCAACTAGATGGAAGTGTACTTAGATGTTTTAGGATGACAGCAGGTGCTGTCTAGTTCATTTACAGTTGAGTTTCATGCTCAGCGTCATCAGAAACGGTCCATATCGGAAAACGACAAAACTTTATGACGTCACTGTGACGTCATCTTAGATGCTACAACCACCAAACTTTCTTCAAACATTGCCTAGGTATTTATTTGAAGCTATGCCAAGTTTCACGTTCGTAGCTCATCAGGTTTCGGAGATATTCCACAAAACGTAAAGGGGGGGGGCAACTTTATGCCCCCCCCAGCGGCTCGTGGGTTAAGTCTCTTCTGTGATTGATTCGGGCTTCTATTCGTAGCATAGTTCGCCATTTCGGATAGGATGGGCGACGCCCAGAAGAGAGCAGTGATTCGTTTCATAGTAGTTAGTGCAGAAAAGGCACCAAGCGTTAACCCTCGCCCTGGGCATTTTTCATAACACGGCCTGGCAGGGGGAGGGGTCGAGGCCTTGAGGGCTCTCGCGAAGCGCTGCGCGAAATGTGTTTGTCTTAACGGTGTTTATTTGAATAAATGAACTTTTTGGTCTAATGAGTCGATGCTGTATCTCTCTGCTCCTTCATGGTCGGGCCCGTAGCTTTCTGAACGCCCCTCGTACTGTCATCCTTTTATTTTGGCAAGCAGGTCTTTCTAACTATCGTTGTGTTTCCAGTCCTCGTTAGTTGTCGAACCCTTCAATTGGCGTGGGTCTTCAAAACCGTTCCTGGCCCCGCAGCCGTCTTTTTTAATCGGCTTTGGCCCTCAAAGCTGTTCCTGTCCCCTTTCAGCACAGCCGTCCTTTTAAGTCGATGTGGGCCTCTTTCAGAATGGCGTGCATTCCTCCGACACTATGTATTGCCTATATAACTGCACGTTTTGTGCATGGCGTCCGGTGTGGACCCAGATTTCCAAAGTTTTTTTGTGTTTTTTTTTTTAGATTTCGGTTAGTCTTGTCAATGACCAGGACGAAAAATAAGTGGCCGAAATCCGATGAGAAAGGCAGATTTGGGGGTACCCTACCTTGTAAGCCCCGTCATATATGGCCAGCCGCCGCCTTTGGGCACTACCAATCATTTTCGGAAAACGACACCCCTGCAGATCGGTCTCTAGCAAGAGTAGTCTGCTGGCACTCTCACCCTGGCTGGATGAAGACGGTGTCATTCGGGTCGGTGGTCGGCTCCTCAACGCACCGCTCCCAGCCACGGCTCGCCATCCAGTGATCCTGTCTCGCAGCAGTGAAGTGACTCGATTAGTAGTCACGCACTTCCACAGCCAGCTTCTGCACGCTGGCGCCGAACACGTCATCAATGAAGCCAGACAGCTGTACTGGATCCCCAGGGCACGGGCGACAGTGCGGAAGATCCTGTCAGCCTGCCCGCTCTGTCGACGAAGACGAGCCCAGCCTCAAACGCCAAGAATGGCTGCGCTTCCGAAAGCGCGCTTAGCTGTGACACACCCATTCTGCAACGTCGGCATCGATTACTTCGGCCCGATACTCACCAAAGTAGGCAGGAAGACGGAGAAGCGATACTGTCTGCTGGTGACATGTATGTCTACCAGAGCAGTCCACCTCGAACTATCGACATCTTTAAGCACCGAATCGTTCCTCATGGCCTTCCAGCGTTTCGTCGCTCGTCGCGGTAGGCCAGCTTCGGTGTACTCGGATAACGGAACCAACTTCCGCCGAGGGGAAGCTGAACTCCTACGTCTTCTAACCGACTTAAATCAAGGCTGCATCAGTGATCGGCTCGCCCAAGACAACATCCGCTGGTTTTTCAATCCTCCCAACGCATGCCATATGGGAGGTATTTGGGAGCGAATGGTGGCAACCGTGAAACGAGCACTCCGAGTAGTCCTTGGAAACTTCATCGTTCATGAAGAAGCTCTACTGACCGCTATCGCAGAAGTAGAGGCAGTCATCAACAGTCGACCTTTGACGCACGTCAGCTCAGAAGCCAGTGACTTTGAAGCGCTCACTCCCAGTCACATCCTTCTCGGCAGACCGGCGTGTCTCCTGCCGTCTCAGCTCAGTGACTCATCACGAATGAATGTCAGGAGTCACTGGCGGCAAGCACGAGCCATAGCCACACAGTTCTGGCGAAGATGGCTCAGGGAATACGTCCCCACCCTCGCTCAGCGCACCAAATGGACGTCAGACGTTCGGAACCTGCGCGTCGGAGACTTGGTGCTGCTAGCCGGCGACGACACGCCAAAGGGATTGTGGCCGCTGGCTCGAGTCGCTCAGGTGTACCCTGGACCCGATGGTCGTGTCCGTTCTGTGGATATAGTGACCGCTAGAGGACGTCTCCGCCGTCCTGCTAGCAAAGTGTGTCTCCTCGAGGGGAGTGATGATGATGGTGATTAGTGGTGCAACTGCGCTCTGCCCAGTGTGTGTATCGGTGGGCATGGTGCCAAGGGTGACGACGGGTCACTCTTGGGGGGGAGGATGTCGCCGCCGTAGCGGCTCCAGTGTGTTATGGCACGCGCCATTTTGCATATTTTCACGCAGTCGGAATTTCGTCGGTGCTATTGTTGTCGTGTGAATGAACTCGTTGAAATTAGAAGGACAAATGGCGGACAATATACGAGACGGATGGCGGACTCGTAGATTGATCGATTCGGAACAAGTTTAATTCGACTTTCGTATTATTCGGATTTTGCTTATTCGTAACTTTACCGGTCGATCGGGTCGGAATTCGATTCGTTCGCAACAGGGGGTATGGGGGTTGATAAAATGATGGGCGACAAAGTCGTCTCATATTTCTTTCTTTCTCTTTCACTCCTTCGTTCTTATTCTATTTTCCTCTTCCTCCATTTCTATATTCTATCTTTCTTTTCCTCTCTCTCTCTCTCTCTCTCTCTCTCTCTCTCTCTCTCTCTCTCTCTCTCTCTCTCTCTCTCTCTCTCTCTCTCTCTCTCTCTCTCTCTCTCTCCCCCTCCCTCCTTCCCTCCCTCCCTCAGAACCGCAGTTCGGACGCCTCTGTCACCCTGCCGTGAGTCCGTGACGCTCTGTTCCTGTCTGCTGAATCGTGGCACTGAAAGGCGACACGTCCACGTCTGTCTCCGCCGCTGTGTCACAGTTCCGCCGGGGGTTCTACGGATGTCCGGAGAGAGGGAGAGGCGAGAGAGAGAGAGGGGAGAGACGGTAGCGCCCGCCGGGGACCGGAGACTGGGCGGTGACTGGCCGGCGACTTGAAATGTGGGGATGGATACTTGCGAAGAGATTGAATGATGCGTTTCTAAATTTTGGTCAATAATTTTGGGAAAAAACTTTGTCTAGCCTTTTAAATTAGCACATAGTTAGGTAGCGTCTATAGTTCTTTGCTTAGAAGGACGAGCACGTTATTATTGTTGAAGTAGGTTAGAAAAAGTGAAAGGAAAACATGATAAATAGTTCAGGTTGTATAAGCTACCTTATTTGATAAAATCCGACACAGATCCAATACGCCTCAGCGTACTGTTGATACAATCCAATTGCTCTGGGTCAAAGAAAGTAACATAAGCCCTCTGGTTATGTTTTTCTCAGAACAGTTATTCTATAGACTCACACTTACCAGACTTCAACTAAACGTTTCCAAGAGCGTATCTTACAAACCTGAGTTAACATCTTCTGAAACTTGGGAAGGTAATCAAAAGCAAAAGCAAACGTTTCTATTTGCCGTTCAAAGAAGACTTCAGGAGCTACCACAGGCTAGGTTGTGCCGCTGCATTTCCATCAAAGTTTCTCAACCGCACCTGATGCGTCTGACAGAACCGTTCGCCGCCGGTATGAGTCGGCCAGGGTCACTCGGGGCGACGTCAGTTCCACGGCGGCTGATGTGTCAGTAATGTGGAGAGGGCCGTGGGCGGCTGAGGCACCGATCGCCCACACGCCCCCGGTTCCGGCGGGCGACGGTCGACCGGCCGAAGCGGCAATAACCGACGCCCGGAGAGCCAGGTGACGGGACACGAGTGGCGGAGACGGGAGGCGACGGTCCGCCTACGGACTGCGCCGGTCTGGGGGTCACCGCATCACGCACGGAAAGTGACGGGACGGCGCCTCCCAAAGTTGAAGTCCTCAACCGGCATCACGGATGAGGGCACTAATTGCATTTGAACTGGCAGATGAGTTGTGTCTGGTCATCACTGACAGTCTGTGTCACTGTTGATTTCAGTGCCACCCTCGGCTCCGATTATTCGGAACAGTACCGGCCACATCCTCGCCAACAACAGTCAGCAGGCGCTAACGGAGGGTGAACGTCTCTGGCTGTCCTGTGAGGTGAAGGAAGGTAAGGCTCGCCGCGAAGACGAGTCCCCGCAGGTGCATTTTCGAGCCATTTTCCTTGTGTGCGGCGTTGTTTGCTCGCCGTAGCGTAGTTTGATGAATGTATGAAAAGTGCGTTCAGAAGTGCGTTTCGTCTTTGAACGCGTCACAGTTTGTAAATTTATAATATTGAATTCCTTTGAAGATGCCTGATGAATGCATAAACTTGATGTCGTGAAAAGTCAGAGTAAAGTGGAGGAGAAGGGAAGAGAGAAACTGAGCCGAGCAAAGTTAAAGAGACGACGGTATTAGAAGGCTCAAATAACTGTAGAGTGGAAGACCTGAAAGCAGATCTGCTAAGATCATCAAAGGTAGTTTCCCCGACTTTTAATCTTCATTTCATTAAATAAGATCAAGAAGCATTCTCCCTGGGTTTTAATCTTCACAACAACGCTCCTGCTTTCCTCTGGCCTGACCTGACCTGACCTCTACCTCAGGCTACCCTCGGCCGCGCATCAGCTGGCTGGTGCAGAACGTGTCTGGTGTGGTGGTGACGGCCGGCACCGCGGTGGCTCGCGGCACCAGCGTGATGAGCGAACTGGTGCTGCCGGAGGTGCGCCGTGCTGACCTGCGCACCAACGTCACCTGCAGCGCCGAGAACAGCAACAGCACCGAGCCCAGCGCCGGCACCGTCACCCTGGACGTCTACTGTGAGTGCCGCGGGGAGGGGAGGGGTGGGACGAGTGCTCATTGCTCGATGCTCATGAATGCTCGGCAAGTGGCGTACCCATAAGAAGTCGCGCCGCCAGCTCAACGCTTCCCAATGAGTATGTACAATTCTGGTTCCCAACGGATGTCCCTTGCTCATAAAACATGAACTGTTGCGTAACACACGGGGTAAACCTTGTTCGCTTCTTGCAATTTCGCCTACCGCATCCTCGTACAAACGATGTTTGTCAAATACTGGCCGAAACATTCTCAATAACCATTTCGGGGATATGGTAGGCCGGCTGTTGACAAAAAGCATGCAACCGGTCCTACTGATATCAATGCAGGCGGAGCTCAATATCCGTTTTGGAATCCTGCGCGTCTGCAGCGCGGTCCTTATTACGCGCGCCTCCGGGGCTCGCCGGCTTACGTCTGGATTCGGAGACTTACTCTGCCGGCGTACTAATGCCATCCCGGCTGGCAGCGCTGGACGACCAAACTCATTCGCATCGAATTAAAGCCGCTCCGGCGGATGTAATTTGACCCTTAATGAAGTGATTTGGATTGATATGAGATCTAATTGGGTGTCGGATTGGCGAAGAAACTTTCTCAGGATCGCAGGCTGTTTCATTTGTATAACGATCTTAGCACCATCAATGACTAGTCGGAAGTTGAGCCGGAAGATTGGAGAATATGCTGAGGAGATATATCAGACTTTTGGGGGATCGTAATTTGATATTGCAAAGGAAACTTGATACATACTGTAGGCATGCTTGCACAACCATGCTCATAGTTCGTATTTTATGAATTGGTCATTGAAATGCTTTTCTGGAGAACAATGGAAGATCATGTGATGCTTCATCATGCATTCTGACGTTTCTTCAATTTGAAAGATTTCGATGCCGTTTTTCAAAGTGGTTTTGTGTTGCTCATGCAACGTAGTAATTCCACGTACTTATTAGCGTAATGCGTTTAAAATAAGCTCAAATGTAGAACAACAAAGGAGGTTAGCAGGCCTCCGTCAAAGTCAGTACCTACACTAATATTCCTACATCTGTTTCCCAAGTTAGCCCAACCAGGAAGTGCAGGCTGAGTAGTTCAGTCTGTTTCTCAGAAACGGCACCGCGTATGTACTTACGAGTACAGTGCGGGCAGCGGCCCACGACATCTGTCCGCTTTTGATCTTGCGGTGAAAATCTCCGAGAAACGTGATTCATTTAATTGAAGTTAATGGCGGCACACTAAACATGGTATTATTAGCCTTATTTCTGCATTCGTTGCCTCTTTCAAGTGAGAGAGCTGCATTTGTCCGGTACATTACACATAATCATTACACTTGTCAGAATCTTCAGACATTTATTCAGTATCTCTTTTATTTAGTATTTTCAAGACACGGTTTGTCAATGTTTGTGACTCGTAATTTATGAAGTCTATCAGATCTAGCGGTTGTAGAAAACTATCCCGGTGAGGGCTAGTTTTCAGTTATAACCCAACCAGTAATCAAATGTTGTCTCGTCGTTCGTTTCGTTTGGCGGTGTCATGAGCGACGAGGCCGTTAGGGCTCCCCACACCCCTCATTACAAACTTTCCTAATTGATACCGTCCATAGCTGAGGCCGTGGAATGACAGGTTTATGCTGAATGATCAGGTGTTTCCTGCGATTAGTGCAGAGCAAACACGGCACGAACGTCCGTCGAAACGGCAAAATAATGACTGCGCATTCAGAGTCAGACTTACCAGTGGTGAAGTCTTTCGCAGTCTATTCCAATTCACGTGGTTTTTCTTGTTTTGGTGAATGATTGGTCCAATTCACAAAAAAAGATGTGAAGAATAGAAATAAAAGTAAAAATGTATTCTGAAAAGGCAGAAATATTTGGGCACACATGGACAGGCAGACAATCAAATTTTCCAACCAGCGTACTGTGTGGCTTGAAGCTTATACTTACACGTAGTATCTGTGTATAAAGCAGCCCTGGATCCCGGCATATCTCTTCACCAGCTCGAGTCGCCGGGAGCCGAGCAAGGCCCCGGGTTGGTGTGCTTGTTAGTCCACTTTGTTATCGCAGGCTGTACACGACTATCCATGAATAGCCAGGGTGTTGCAATTTGCATTTGCATGAGCTGGCGACGCGGTTAACCTGGTGCGGTCCGCCCGGCTGACGCCTTGCTCGAGCTGTGGAACGCATACAAACGAGCAACTATAGAGCGCAGCAGACAGCTGCGATTCTAGGACCGCGGAACGCGCTGCTCTTCTGGGAATATCGGAGCTAACATGGCCGTGTAAATCAAACGGCGTGTAATTAGTATACAATATCCTTTCCTTCGATTGATGTGATTTATCGTAAATGTGCTGCCGTTTTGATATTGCCTTTCTCGTCCGAGAGATTTATTTCATAATTTTATTTCACCAAGAAAAATCTATCGCCATCCTTCTAAAGCAGGTCGTGTCGCCGTTCAAAACGCCAGCCCTGCAATAATAAATCCGCCATTGTGGGTAACCATCCACCGGCAAAGGCGGCCCAATCACGATGCGGTGGAGCGGCGGTATCATTTGGTCTCGCCTGTCCGCCCGGCCGAACCGCTGTGATTCGGCCCGCCCAGCCGACACCGGGCAATTTCTCTGGACGTGACCGGACGTGACCGGACGTCAGTGGACGTTGGCGGACGTTAGGGACGTCTGCCACCCCGCCGCGCCGAGAGACGTCCGCCACGGCCACTGTCGCCGCCGCGAATCAGTGAACTGCGCTGTGAATTGCGACATCGCTCCTCACTTGGGTGAGATCGCTCGACCAAACTGAGGGCAGAGCCGTCTGAGCTCAACACTATCCGGGCGAAATTTGCTCCAGCGGGGGCGGCGGCCAGACCGAGACCACCATCTGTTGCGTCATATTACTGCGGCGGCCCCAGGCGATTAGAAGCTCGTCACGCTCAGTGGAGCGACGCCCGCCTCCCGCGCCCCCTCCCCTGACGAGCTCAGTAGTCAGAGCGGGCCGCCAGCCGTCGACACACGTGTCAATCTGCCTCCACAGTCTCACCAATGTCGGTCTGTCCGCGGCGCGTGACTGGCGTGCGGCGGCGTCAGCGGCGTCAGCGGCGGCGGCGGCGGCGGTGGCGGCGGCACCTGGGGGCGGTACCGCCGAGCGCAGCCCGCCGCCGTCGCCGCCGGCGCCACACCAAGGCGCTCGGCTCGTCCGGAACCGGCGCCCTATCGATTCGCTGGAGTGGCGGCGGCGGCGGTGGCGGCGGTGGCGGCGGTGGTGGCGGCCGGTGCCACCAGGTGTGTGTGGCAGGGTCCGCAGCTCTGCCTGCCTCCGCCGCCACCCGCGCCCGCCACCGGTGATCACTGGAGTTTTGACGGCTCAGTGTCCACCCTGGCATTGTGCAGATGCGTATGAATGTAAAAAAGGCACACCAACACACGTAGATGAGCAGCACTGACAAGACAAAGGCAGGCGTGTTTTATATTGACCAGAATAAAAGACGATACCGATCTGGGATAAACAGAAGTGATGGACTATGCTATGCGGACAGTTTTATGTAAATGGATACACCTCCACTGTCTGCAAAGCGTACCGACCGGCGCCAGGTAAATGATGCAGCCGCTCCCCACGTGTGCCGGAGCCTGGTGACGTAATATATGGGAACTAATGATCCGGCGAAATAAAGACAGAGCTGCCACACGCTGCTACCGCGGAGATTGCTCACAGACAACACGGTGATGCATCAGTGAACAGAATGAGGAAATATTGCATGCCCTAATGGAGATTAGGTAGAACAGTCGAACGATTTCTGGAAGCCAAGGATGGTGAGAATAACCTGATCGGGATAAATAGCTGACTCGGTGAATTAGGATTGATGTTTAGCATTACTTTTTAAAGGCATGCATAATGATGTATAGTTACCAGCGATAGCGGTTGGAGACTTGTGTGCTCCTAGGCCATTGTTTGTTTCTTCCAAAATGCATATAATAGGGACTTTACTGTTAAGTATTTCATTCTCAGCTACTGATAACTTCAATGAAAACGTATCTTGCCTTGATGACGTCATGACAGGCTAGAGCTCTCAGGCTCATTCTGTACGAAACAATTCAATATTTCACCGATGCGAGTTGACAATTTTCGAATGCTGCGCAAGCTGCACCAAATGTTGATCTATCTTATCGCTCAGTTGGTAGAGCGCTAGACTCATGCGGTAATGAGAGCTGCAGGGTTCGAGTCACTCGCGCACAATAAATATACGTGACCCCTGACGGGGATGGTCTGTGGTTGGTAGAAGCAAGCGAAGCGAGATGCACTCAGTGAGTTGGAAAGATTGTGTCCGCCTATGTGGACACGCTAAACCTTGACATCTTAATTATCTCAACACCCCGGAAGTTTACGATTGGACTGCAAATGCTTCATTGACTGTGCAACAAATCCAGTCTAGCATGGGATCTGGATCTGTCACCACGTGCTTTCAAACATTTGATATTTATTTACAAAAAAACCGTCACTGACGATCTGATTACTCGCTATCTCTTTCGTATCGCTCCGCAGTGGCGCTTTAGAAAAGATACCCATTTCTCAGGATCTTCTCAATGACACGTCTCGTTACCCCGTGTACACCGCACTTGCACGAGCGAGCACACATCGTCACGCCTGCGGGCCATTGACCGCAGCCCAGTCGCCATTCGTCGTGGCCAGGCGGTCCCGGGGACACCCTCCATCTGCAGAGCCTCGGCCGGGCTCGGCGGCCATCCGCCCACCGCAGCCATCTCTCATAATGGTGAGAGCTGAGGGGATTAGGACCGGATTATCGGGGCGCGGAGGCGCCCGGCCGGTCTCTCCGCGGACGTTTGTTTGTTTGTTTTGTTGGGTTAGGCCCTTTCGGTCGACAAGACCATTGCAGAGCCGGAAGGATGATAGGAATTAGGGGGAGACATTGGTCTGGGCAGGCACCCTAGTGAGTCGCCGGGGCTGAGCCCGTCCAGAGGACAGGCCACCCAGCCCCAAAGCACTCACTG